ACCTGACAATATTATGGATGTGTCTTGGACTGCTAGGCCATATGTTGGTGTGCATGTATGTGGTACCGTTTACCTGACTTTACCTGAAACCATTCCAGTTCTGGCTCAGATCTGTCTATTCACTGGCAAAACATCAAATGAGCAAGAAGGTCATGATTCCAACTCACATCATTGCAGAACCGAAATGATGCTGAGATGGTGGAATGAACCGACAAAGGTGCATGGAGGAGTACTATTTTCTGCCCCCTTTCTGACAAGGATGTTGATCACAGGTATGTCAGACAGGTTGGGAAACCTACTTGGACCACTTACAGATGCAAGGGACTGAGTCACCAGAAGACATGAAATTCCACCTCAACATCCTGAGGTTCATTATACATGATATTCCTTCATTGGGATACCCCTGTGATATACTTGTTCGCCGCCAAGTGTCAGAAGGGGTGTGAGCTCAAGTTCGCTAATGGATGCTTCCTTCTGCAGTGGTCCCAAAACCTCCTATGTGACTTTTCACTGATTTTTCCCCTTATCCCAAGGGTGATTTCCAAAATCAGAAGAGACAAAGCCACGATGATTCTCATAACACCATACTGGCTGAAGTAGTTTTGGCTGACTGACCTGCTACAGGTATTCATTCAGCTGCTGATCCAGCTCCCACAGTGCCTGGACCTGCTCTACTAACACCATGGCCGGATAATCTCTCCAGACCCAAAGTCACTGCAGCTGACAGCGTGGCTAGTGGTTGGTTAAGTACCAGGGATGAGAACTGCGCCTTTCAGGTTCAGAAAATCCTGATACAGAGCAGGAAACATTGACCAAAAAGATACATTCATCTAAATGGAAGATGCCTTTGATATAAGCAGCCCAACATGGCTCAGACCCTATCCAGCCCTCTGTATTGAAGATCTTTGCCTATCTATTGCTCTTGAAACAGTCTGGCCTTTCACTCATTTATGTTAGGTCTACCTTGCAGAAATTCCAGCTTGTCATCCACTGGCAGTTATGCCTGGTTGTTTCTCTCCCCACTGTATCAAAGTTCCTCAAAGGACTATTACGTACTTACTCCCTGGTCAGAGAACCTGGGACCTCTTAAGGCTCATGGAGCGTCCTGTTAAAACCTCCCTCAAAATGCTCCTTGCAACACCTCATTCTTAACACTGTCTTCCTTGTGGCTATCGCTTTGGCCAGAAGAGTGAGTGAGCTTCAGCCATTTACGGATGAACTCCCTATACATCATTTCATAGAGATAAGGTGGTCCTAAGACCTCACCTGAAATTCATCCCCCAGATGAGTTTCATCTAATCTCTCAACCTACCTGTCGTCTTTCTGAAACTATTTGTCACATACAGAAAAGGTTGCCGACCCCTGGACTACAATATTTCAAAAAAAAAGTTACTGTAGTGTGACAGTTTTCACTGTAAATAGCAAATTGTTATTGATTTATAAACCTATATTAAATGTTACTTTTCATAAAAAGTGTTCACTATAGTGTATAGTTCTTTTACAATCATCATAGTTACTTTACAAGCTTCAAACTATGTCCCTGATGCTCCCACTAGATCCACATGGGTAGAATACAATGGGGTTCCCCACAGGAGCAGATTCAACTGCAAAATTAGGGCCTATATCCATTCTGTTCACAATACCAATGATGGGTAAGTCCTTAGGCAGTTAAATTACTTCCCCCATTTTTATATGCAGATTACTGTAACTATCTGCTAAGTGTCTGAAGATAATAAAACTCTAAATGGTTTTTGTTGTGGCTCCTGCACTGTGGAAGAATCTACCACAAAGAAAATATTTATTTGGCCTGTACCATGAACATAATTTTTGGTGAGGTTGTTATAGACTATAATATATATTAATGGCATGATCTTAGCCAATATTTAAAAAAAATAGTAAAGGAATACTGTCCAAGAGATGTAGAAGGAGACCAGACTTTTATCTCAGCTCAACAGAGAAGAAATTATCTTTGGGTAAGAACAATGAGGAGTCGTTGTGGCATCTTAGAGACAAACAAATTTATTTGGGCATAAGCTTTCGTGGGCTAAAATCCACTTCATCAGATTCATGGAGTGAAAAATACAGTAAGCAGTATAAATATTACAGCACATGAAAAGATGGGAGTTACCTTACCAAGTGGGTGGGTGGGTGGGTGAGTGCTAATGAGGCTAATTCAGTTAAGGTGGAAGTGGCCTATTCTCAACAGTTGACAAGAAGGGGTGAAGAGTCTCCCCGTTTGGCTTTCAATAAAGGCGTGTAGCTAACTTTCATGATCACTAGAAGACTGTTGCCTTATGGCAATAAAAAGTTAGTGTATACATCCCTTCCTTGTTTTGACTCAATATTGATTATGGGATAATTCAGAGTCTTATTAATTCTTTTTAGAATTGGTGACAAAGTTCAAAAAGATTAACTCAATATATGTAAACTGTCTGAAAGAAAATCCAATATTACCAGTGGAATTTAATTCAAAGTGAATAAAGCAAAAAAATCACCTTAGAACAAGGTGAATTGATAATGGCATTACATGTTCTAAAAGTCTAGTGTAGACAAGGCACTGTATACTTCAACATGATATAACTGCTCAAGTTTAAAATCTAGGCTCCCCAGTAGGCTTTAGCTTGACCAGTTTAAAATATTAAAAGCAGAATGCCTTAACTGCATTAGATTTTTAAAACTAGTTACTAGTATGTATTAGTTAACACATTCTACCATCATACCTTTTATCTTAGTCTAGACAAGGCCTAAGAAGTCCTGTTGCCATCTCTGAGTAAAACAGATGCCCCAGATGAGATTATTAGGGGTGGGATGACAAAAGAACAGAGGCTCAGGATTTACAGGCCTATGGGAGGGAATAGCCGTTGTATGCAGCTTTATCACTGTGGGACAATGTTAGCATGTATTCTTCCTCCCATGTAGTCTTCCATACAAAACTCAATTATGCTGAGGAGTGAATTTCACCCTTTGTAAGTACATATAGTTGGCCAACAGTGACCTCTTTTTTGCTATTTAATACTTGTATTTAAAGCTATCATCTGCAGGAACTCTATTCATTGTAAACAGATGCCTGTGTGCATGTCCATTCTTTTTCCATCTTAAGATATAACTTGCTCCTTAATTCCAAAGATTTGACTGTTCACAAGTTACGACACTGTAAAGGCCACTGAAACGGATTTCATTTAAAGCACTGTAATATCAATTCTTCCAGCTTAATCAAATGTGTATAAACAATTTGGATAAGTATTAATCATACAGTTATTTATTTCAATAATGTAAATTTTTGATTTATAAATATTTTCAGTACCCACTGCATTAGCAAGAGGATGTCAGCTTAGTCATTTCCCCCTGTGGAATGAGAGGATTTGATAATCATTATTGTTCTAAAACTTTGTATTGGCTCTCCCAGGAAAGCAATAAATAAATAGATGTGACTCAGTATGTGACTGTGGATGGAAAATTGTTCTCTGCTTTCTGGTAAGTAGTAATGACAGCCCACCAGAAAATTATTTACAGATTCTAAAGCAGATCACAAAGAACTTTGACTCACTTTTTCTTTTTTTGTTTGGTGAATGACAGCATTAAGAATGTAACCCCTCTTAACTCTGCTATACCCTGCTAGAATATAATTCACTCAGAACAAGAGGATGACATTGACAGCCTTCTCCAGGAACTTGTTTCACACCTACAAGTTTTTTTCTTCTTATCTCAGAGATTACATAGCACATTTAAGCAATATTCTGCATTAATCTAACCTCTGCCATTTGGACCACATTAACACACCAAGACAGGTTTATGTACCTCACACGTCAGACCCTATCAAGGAACTTGGTAGTGGCGGTTTGATAAGGACACCATACCCTACTGAACTTGTTCTAAAAACGACAGCAGCAAAACACTCATGTACTCTCACTTTTTAATGACCTTGTCCCCTTATTTAGTTGTGTTACTAACTGCTTTACTGTATGTATGTGTAGCTTAGAAATTTATACAACCAAAAATGCCATATTCCCTGGAATTTCAGATATATTTTTCTTTTATACACACTTCCATGATGTGCTAGAGAAATCAGCGTGATGTACGGTTAGTTAAATTTGCAGCTTCCTCTGGTGGCTTTAAGGTCACTACATGCTAGATGTAAAGTCTTTAAAAACAAGAGTCTGAGATTAGTTTTGCAATTTCTGTATCTCAATATTGAGATTAAATAAATAAACCTGCAATACCGACAAAAAAGTAGAGAAAATGAAATTAGAGGAAGGGTACTTTGTAATAACTACTTTCATTCTGGGAGTCTAAGCTTCTTATAAACATGTGATTTATTGTTTTTTTCCCCATATTAATTGCTATTTAAATTTGGATTCTAAAATGTTCTCAAGCTTGTGAAATAACATTTCCAAACTTGTAGATTATCATGTCTTTCCAAGTAATTTTTTGGATATGTTTCTCAAGATGAAGAAAATTTAACCACACCCTCAAATTAAATTTTGATTGAGTTTCAAGAGAGCTGGGAACATTGTACACTTTGTGCTGGAAGTCTGGAATTTTTAAATCTATCTTCTGAACTTTGTGATACAATGAAGAACCCAATTGCTTAACTAAACAAAAAAATCAATCATCTGTAAATGGATTTAATCTTACCATTTAAAAAAATTAAATCTTAAAAAGCCTGTACAACTGGTGGGAATAATTTTTTTTCATTCCTTAACATTTTCATTTTGGCAAATATCTTTTCTTCACTGTCTTGGAAACATACCTTCTAATTACACTATTCTCAATATTTAATTGCTATACATTGATTAAAATGATGACCAAAACTATTATATATTTATTAAAATTTCAAAAGTGTTTAAAGAGAGCTTGGATTATGCACTGAGAACACTTGCTTATTTTACTGCACAATTCATAAAACAAATAAGATAGCTGTATTTCAAAATCAGACAACAGGTTCTTGAGAGATTCCTTTTCACACTTGTAAAGTGATATTTTTAGGAACCACAGCTATTAAAGGGCCGATACTTTATTACACTTTCCAAGCCAGCTCTGGATAGTTTTACATTCATTTCATCTCCTTTCTTTTTTCTCCCGCATTATCCTTTTGCTTTGTTCTCTTCTCCTCTTATTTACAGGATTCCGAGGATCATAGATTTCAAAAGTGTCTTCATCCTGCATGCTTGCATCTTTCACTTTTCTGCTTCTGTCCTCAAACTGAAGTACATGTGACAACCTAAAAAAAAAAACCCAAACAAATCATAATTCAAACTTGCTGAGTGAAAGAAGTGACATTAGAAATTGTAATTACAATATCCCTGGCAAAATGTACTGTTGTGAGATGGTCATCAAATGCAAAAATGAATTTACTACTACTTCATATCACAGGGTAACCACTTTTATTTTCAAGTTTAAATGTTCTCATATCAATGTTGTCTGATGGGCTTTTATTTCTAGTATCAAGTCCTTTTGTCTTGTTTCTATTTGATGCACCTTCCCAGATGAGTTAAATATAATCTTTCCAGAAACTGGGAGTGTTTTTCAAGTTTTCCTATTAGTCACTATGGACTTTCCTTTTAATACCTATGGTCAGCATGATAGTAGGCCTATTTCTATTTTTGCATTGAAAACTCCTACAGTAAGTTCAGGGAATGCATTCTACGGGATCACAATCTTTAAGATTAAACAGGGAATGCATCAGTCCTCCTGTTCCACTTTAAAATGAACATGCTTCCTAATTCATAAATAGGCTTGGAAGGCTCAGATTTTTATTGGTAAATGTTGGTAAATCCAGATTTCACCATACAGACAAACCCATGACAAAATGTTTCCATTGATAATCAAAATTTACAATAGACAAAGTGAGAAAAATGCTGCTTGAGAACTTTGGATTTGATTTAAGAATATTTACTCTGTGTATTATGATGTGATTTTGACAGTTTGTATTTTAATGCTTATAAAGCTTTAACTTTTTGCATTTCAAATTCTACTGTCATTAAATAAATATTGTCTGACTCCCTTTATTTCTCACGACCATGAAAACTTAAATGGATTGAAATTGAAAGAATGCGTACATAAAATGGATATTATCTATCAAAATTATAAAACATAAAAATTGAATTCTGCCAAGCCTTTTCTTAGATTAAACTCTAATGCTGCTCTTCAAGCCAACTTTTTCTTTCTACTGTTGATTTGAAATCTTGACCATACTGGTAGTTCTCCATTTAATAAAATTCCCAATGGTCTGAAAATATCAACATGTTCTGGAGTCATAGATATCTTGTTGGCATACTCAGTGGCAGGAAAGCCTGGAGTTGATCAACTCTGGCCTTATTAGTAGGTGTCACTGAAGTGGGAATTAGTATGGAAGATGTCAGAAAACATGAAATTTTAGGCTAGCCAAAATAAAATCTTTAAGGGAATAAAATTCAATTGTTCTACTCTACTGAAAAAAGACAAAACAAACTATGCATATGTACGACAAATTTACCAGTTGTAAAACAATGATCTTTACTGACACGTCAGATACTTTTCCACATCGCAACATGCTGAACTGGATGTGATTTAACTTTATATACTTAAGAATGGCTATTGCTTGTAACATTTTAAATGAAAAAACCTCCACTCAATTAATTTCTACTTCTGCCCACTCAGAAGAGAGATTTGCTATGCAAAACTGCTATTTTAGAATCAGTACAAAAGACAACTTTAAAATTTGAAAGTTCCATACGAAAGGTGACAATGTCATTTGCATTCAATGTATAAGAATGAATATAATAGAGGAATACACTTAAATCTGATATATAAATGTTGTGTTCCATTTCCTATCTATGGATCCAGTTCTGCAACCACTATTAGTTCACACTTCTGTGAGTAGTCTCACTTAAGTTTTTGGGTACTACTGGCAGTAGCAAGAACTACACTTAAAAGTAATGGCTTCTCTGCATGGGCACTTTAGTCCATACTAACTTGTGTTAGTGAGGATTGAAAAAGCCTGTGTACATGTGATGAAAACCTTTAAAGCACACCCTCTCCCTAGTTGGTGCAAGTTCTGGAGCCCTGTTATCTAAGTGTACTAAATTTGATGCGAAATAAGTTAGTGCAGATTATTGTTCATGTAGACAGAATGCTGCTGCAGACAACTTTGATAGTCCTCCAGCAACTTTACAATAGTCCTCAAGCAGCTGCTTGCAGCTGTAGTCAGGACCTTGATAATCTAGCCATCTGGGGAGAAATGGGGGTGTAGGCAGCTTTTGTGGTCAGCCACTACAATAAGAAACTGTTAGAGGAAATCTTAAAACAGATGGTCGAAAAGGGTCACTACCGAGACGCCTCTCAGTGCTGTATAAAAACCAAACAGCTAAGACAAACATAAAAAGACAGCAAGGATGACAGAAGAAGATCCATCGTTGGCCATTTGACCTGTCCATTTTTTAAGGATGTGGAAAGGCATTTTTAGCTCACATGACGGCCTTGCAGAGACTCAATGCAAGAGCACAAGTCGGAGGAGGATGACAATGAGGAGGACAAAGAAGATATCTCCCTGAACAGCCAGGATCTCTTCAGAACTTGGGACCCTGAGAGTGGCCATACAGGAAGCCAGACCAATTCCCAGTTTCGGACACAGGAAGAAGAACCTCCAGAGCCTATCAAGGGGACCTCGGCATCTAAGTAATTGTCCATGTTGTTGTTATGTTATACTGCTCTGCTAATTTCTTTTCCAAGTGCCCCAGGGCTACTGCCATTTTGTGCGGATGTGACCTGGGGGCCTTTCGGAGTTTTTGGCCCAATCACCCAGCCATACTTCCTCTTCCAAACCTGTTCCCCTTCATTCTGTCCCCCCAACATATTTACGAAATGGCAACTGGGCCTGCAAGGCAATCTGTCACATCCTGAGGCCCCAATCGTCAGCTCTTTTCAAACCCATGCCATGCCACGAAATGGGGGCACTTATCCATCTACTAATTCCCTTCCCTCTCTCCACATCTCTCCTGCTCAGTGATCACAGCCCTACCCCCAGCCTCTGGATAACACAGGGTATTGGGAACACCAGTAGATGTTCCCATCTGTAGCCCTGCTCCTGTGCTCCCAGGGTCATTCCCCGCCCCCGCACAAGCACGGGGCAGTGATAACACCATCATGTGGAAGCTCAGCATATTAAAGCTATCCAATCCACTTGGCAATGTTGAGCCCTAACACTCAATCTCAGAAGGACAAGCAGCAGCAAAGGCAAGTTGTTCACTCATCTGTGAATAGGAATTGCCCCCATCCACCACACTATATTTGAATTTTGAACTTTTTCAATTTAAATCTGTTTACAATTGTTAGCAAAATGTGTAATGTATTTCATCCTTGGCAGTTACGTATTGGCATATATTGAGCAATAAAAAAACCTGAAAATTACAAAGAATCTGCAATCCAAGCATGGTACACACAATAAGTACAAATTTTCATAGGTAATATGGTCTTACAAAGAACAACAACATAGGCTCAAGATAAAGAGTGCGACAACATGCCACTTTTACCCTCCAAAAAAGCAACTCCAGTGCTCACAATTCAACACCCTCCCCCACCATCCCTCAAACATGGATAACAACTGCACATCTTCAGGCACCAAACTCCAAGTAAGAACAAAAAGCATTTCTGACAGCATTAACCTGGTGGTTTACACTTTTCAGTGGATGCCTTAATGGTTGCCCATGGTGTTCAGCAAATCTCTGTACCTCCACCTCCCACTCATTGTTAAGACTTTCTCCCTTTCACAAATATTGTGCAAAATACAACCCACAGCTATTCTCCTAGGCAAGTTTTGTTCTGCAGCTTCTAACCCAGTCATAAAGAGAGCACGAGCACCATATAGCTTTGTGACTGCCCAACACACACTCCACTGTCATTCTGCAACTACTGAGGTGATAGTTAAACTGTTCCTTTTCTTCTCTCCAATGGCCTGTGAGCAGCTTCATAAGCTAGAGAAGCAGATAATATGCCAAGGTCTCTCACAAAGACTGGAGCAATCTCTATACCATTATTGTTCATAGTGATCCTGGGGGCAAACTTTCCACTATTCATTAAAGGTAACCTGATGTGAGTTCGGAAAGATCCTAGCATTGTGGACCTTTCCAAAACACCCAGCATTTATGTGGCGGTTGACCAGGCCTTGGAGAAATAGTCTTTTCTGTTTATAACCTCCAAGGTCTGATGCGGCAGGGAAAAGATAAGCACTTGGCTCCCATCAATTGCTCCAATACAGTTTGGGAACCCCACATGTGCAAAGCCATCAATAATCTCTTGAGCACCAAGCTGTATAACCTGCTTCAACAATACCTTCTGCACAGCAGTACACACCTTCATGACAATGGCCCCAACAATCAATCTCCACACGCTGAATGGTTGGCAATGGGCCAGTTAACAGTCAGGAGTGGCTGTCTTCCATATGGCAATGGTGACATCTTCTCAACCGGTATGGGACACCACATGTTGGCATGCTACTACTGCAGCCCCAGGGCCAATTCAGCACAGATCTCCAAAAAGCTGCCTTCACCACCCTGAAATTCTGTCGCCACTGCTGGTCATCCCAGGTTTGAAGAAAGATTCTCTGCCACCAATAAATGCTGGTTTCCCGGGCCCAGAAATGGCGCTGCACTGTGTGAAGCTGCTCCAGGAAAAGCTTGTGTAGTAGCAGTTCCTCGTTGGTGTCCCCCCTCCTCTTCCATCCCCTGCTGTTTCTGGAGGAGCCACTGTTGTAGCCACATCATCTGCTTGATGGCATGGCAGCTGAAGTCCAAAACCAAAGCCACCCAATGCCAACAGCTTATATAAAGCACAAACAGCCTTTGCCTATTTGCAGCTGCCAGCATAGCATATCTGCAGAGCATTCTTGCATCCATGCTTGCCAACAGGAATCTCAACTCAGTGCAAACTAAGTTTCCATATAGACAAGTGCTAAGTGTTTACAGGATTGTGTAATAAGGCTGTTCATGTTTTTAGTAATTTGTATTCATTAGCAGGTGCTTGGGAAAGACATGAAATCTTTAAAAAATCAGCATCAGTATGAAAGTTTAATCACAGGAGTAAATATTGTCTTATCATGCTTATATAACATACTAAAACTTGAATGAAAGAAGCCATTTTCCACAAAAGCTTGAAGCACAAACCTGAACATGTAACACTTTTTATGGATAACTTCTCTATAATTACATCTAATTTTCTCATTTAATAGAAATGAAAATGTTTTAA